GCAGCATTCACTGACCCTGACAGTGCAGGCAGACTTTGATTTATTTATGTTTTTTTCAAATTAAGCTTTAATATAAACACACGTTTTAGTTTTTAATGTTGTTCTGAACTTGAAATATAAACACAGTCAGATCAGTGCGCTCTGCAAGTTTTAAAGTTGTGATTTATGTACAAAAAATATAATTCAGTACGTCTTAAAGTCCTTCTCTGAGAGCACCGACCTCCATTTGTGTAGTGGCTGAGGCACAACAGTTTCCTTCTATAATGATAAAAGTGTTTATTTGTGTGTGTCCGTTAAGGAGGAAATGGAGAATCCTAACTCTGCATTTCCTTTTTCAGCCCAGAGCCGCGCAGAGACCAGAGTCTGAAGAACTCAGTATGTCTGACTTAATGAGGGACTGCAGGTTAAAACACTGGCTTATGGAGTAAGTCAACATCATGTTGTTTAGATTTTTAGCATCTATATGAGAGAACAAAGCTCATCATCCTGTTTTCTGTGCAGAACATGTTCACACCATTTTCACTTTTGTTGTATCCACACATGCAAAGTCAATAAAAACGACCTCCTTTCTAGATGATTTAAACGACTCGACATAGTCAAGAGAAAAGAGGAGGCTTCTTTTTAAAGAGGAGACATCCATTCAGAGCGAACACAATCTGCTTTATATCATATTCTAAAAGGAAAATCTGATGCATTCTTCATAGTTTCCCTGTAAGGACCAGTTGCTGCATGTGGTTTGATCACAAACAGTCACATTTCCACAGTTTGCTTGTTCAGAGAAAAATATATGTAAATGTAAATCCATTGATAGGAAAGTACTTTTTAACTGAACTCTTCTGGTAATATGATTCCCACCCTGAGGTCTTCTTCTCAGCAGCAGAGCCAGAAAAACATTCAAAAGGGTTTTTCACTTTGTGGTGGTACATATTGTTTTTGGAATCAAGCAGTTTCTGGGTTTGATCTAATGACAGAAAGTTGTCAGATTCATCTGGTCCGTCCTTCAGGAGGGATTAGTCAAAGGAGAGAGAGAAGAATGCTACTGCCTCTGGTTTACATGTTGATAGAAAGGCAAACATTGACATTATAGCGTCATAAAGCAGACTCTGTTGCTTGTCAAAAAGGTTGAACCCCGGGTCGTCCACTTGGATGGCTTTAGCCTCCATACATGAGACGTTATGATCTGCTAGGTCATCAGTCACCTGTTTGTTGAACATTTTATAAAATGACAAAGAAAACTCATAACCTCTTTTGACTGATTCCACTGTTTTATATCATATTAAAAATAATCTGGATTTTCTTTTGATATGAACTTTTTTCTGGTGAAGTTGCATCATAACCGTGTTTATTGTTACAGGCTCAACCTGACCTTCTCCCACCTGAAGATAGATGGCGCTGCAAAAGCAGCAGATGATGATAATGAGTCAGGATTCTTATCTGTCAGTCGGTGAGTGAAATGTGCTTACATCTTATTCAGACTGACAGTTTTAAAAATATCAATATTTTGATGAGGCTTAACCATATCAGTTAAAACTGACATCGAGTGCTTTCACACGGACTTGAGTATCCTGTTTAATTATTACTATTATTTTTTTACTATATTTTTTAGGTTATTTAAGTATCCCGTTTTTTTTGTGTGATCATGACAACATGATCACACAAACCAGTATCCTAATCCCAGTATGGCTACCTGGAGAACTCAGAAAGAAAACAGGATTCTGTGGCATGTAGACGGTTTCTGACAGCTCAGTTGCAGCCGCCGCCAAGTGACGTATCAGAACAAACATGGCGGCGGCAACGAGAGCGTTGAAGAAACGTAGGAATTGATCCCTCTGTGATTATTGTCTTTCATTAATACAATATAATTGGACGTTGAGATGGGAGAAAGAAATACTGACCTCTTCAAGTCTGTGGTGATCAGGCTACAGGACGCCGGTTTCCAAACGCCTACGGTTGTCAGAATGAGGCTCATAACCGGGATGGTCAAGTCCATGTACACACACTCGTTGCAACATTTTTTCTTTATAGCATTATACATCGCCATTTCTCAAAACAATTCTAACAATTAATTTAAATATAATTTTATGTACATCAATCAAGATTTAAATGAAACAATATTTTTTTATACATTTTCATACTTGGGTCTTTAAAGGCACAGTTCATAGACTCTGCCACCAGGGGGCTCTCAATCAAAACAATGACATAAGATGATTTTAAGGCTGGTGGGGAATCATGGGAGTGATTCTCTCTGCTACTCCACCCCCGATGAGAATGACCTCTGACTTATCCGTACATCGCAAGCACACACAGCAACAGTATGGCAGCTTTCAGTAGCAGTTCCCTTTACATTATGCTAGAGTCTTTGACGTAACATCCAGTGTTTCCACGGCAACGATAAATATGTAGTGTCACAGAGGCTGCCATAACGAGACACGTCCCGCTACAACTATAAAATTAAGGAATTCTCTGGTTTTGATAACCGTTGGAAATATTTGAGTTTACGTAGTCAACAAAATAAAATACATTATGTTTAGCTTATTTTTAAAAATCTACATATTACACCTTTAAGAAATTTTCTTATTTCAAATCTCAACACACTGCTACTTTCATCAAACACTGGATGATGATTAACAACACACACATTCTCTCTGAAGTTCTTTGTTTTGATGAAGTTATGGATTTCCTTTAAATGTTTTATTTTTCAGCCTTGTTGTTGCTGTTGGTCCAGAAATGTCCCAAATAGTCAGGTTGATCAGGTTTAAAGTTCATGTAAGAATCAGGAGTTTATCATTCAGAGTGAACTAAATCAAGTCTTACTGGATCGATGTCTAATTTAGAAGTTTTAGTTTTTCATCTGTTGTTGTGGTTTGATATCTAACTATCTAATCTTTCTCTCTTTTTCAACATTCTCAGTGATGACGACCTATCATCACGTCCATCTGATCCATCCCTCCACAGTGATCAGTCAAATGGAAGATTGATTGATTTTAAAAAATCTGAAAAAAGTGACCCAAACAAGTAAGTGTTTTCAACATTGAATCCTGACAGTCATGTTTGTACACACACACACACACACACACACACACACACACAACACACACACACACACACACTGAGTCTGTTTTGCTGCATGTTTAAAAAACAAATACAATCTCATGTTGAGTCGATCATGTTTGCACTCTGAAAACTTTGATCTGTCTTTATTATTTTCACAACAGGTTTGTTTTTCTAACTTTTTTTGCATCCTTCCAATCCGTGTTCAGGATCAGTTTCTGTGTGTAAATTGGTGGTGTTCCTTTTATTTTTATTTCAACTGTCTTTAATTGATTTTTGCATGAATTGCAAACATCTCTAATTACACACGTTCATGTAGCAATATGGGCATACAGGCCTCCAGAGTCGGGTGTAGAAAAAAGTAATGCAACGTACATAATGGGGAACATATCACCCTTAACAACAACAACAGTACAAACATCCCATGTACAAAAAATTAAAAAAAAGAATTTAAGAAATAAAAAATAACTAAAATAGACAATTATATACATTAATAATAAACTATATGTGTATATATAATGTATATCAAATAAGATATATAAACTATAAATAAATCACATCTAATATAAAAAAAACATACAATATAAATAAGTTTTCTCCAAAAATCAATAAATATGTGAATAGAAGTCCATCCATTTGTCCATTTTCTTCCGCTTATCTGAGGTTGGGCTGCGGTGGATGTCAGCTCAGACTTCCCTCTCCCCAGCAACTTTTTCCAGCTCCTCCTGGGGGATTCCGAGGCGTTCCCAGGTTAGACGGGATATATAATCCCTCCAGCGTATTCTGGGTTTCCCCCGGGGTCTCCTCCCAGTTGGGCGTGCCCGGAAAACCTCCAATGGGAGGCGTCCAGGAGGCATCCTTAACAGATACCCAAACCACCTTAACTGGCTCCTTTCCATACGAAGGAGTAGCGGGTATACTCGGAGCTCCCCCCAAATGTCCGAGCTCCTCACCCTATCTCTAAGGCTGAGCCCAGCCACCCTCTGGAGGAAGCTCATTTCGGCCGGTTGTACCCGCGACCTTATTCTTTCAGTCACTACCCATAGCTCATGACCATAGCGGAGGGTTGGGACTAAGATCGATCGGTAAATCGAGAGCTTTGCCTTCAGACTCAGCTCCCTCTTCGCCACAACGGTCCGGCACAGCGCCTGCAATACAGCTGACGTGAACAAGACCCAGAGGTACTCAAAAACCGCCCCAATGAGGAAGCCAACAAAACCACATCAAAAGCAGAGATGAAATTTTGAGGCCTCTGAACTTGAAACCCTCCTCCCCCCAGCTGCTCCTTCAGATCCTGTCCATGAAAATCACAAACAGGACCGGTGACAAAGGGCAACCCTGACGAAGGCCATCACGCACTGGGAACATGTCTGACTTTTTGCCGAGAATGGGGACACAGCTCTGTTCTCCAGGTCGTCAGCACTCCTGCGATAGCGTCGCTTGTCTCATGGCTCATCTGAAGAGTCAATGTCTTGGTTTTTCCTATGTGACATGCCCTCGGACTGCCTTAAAAAGTAATTGTTAAGGCTCATTTTAGGCTTATAAGCAACCTAGACTCTTGGAAGTGTATTTTTTGTAGGATAAAATGTAAACTTCGCGATTAGGCACATCAGCTCTCCCGATCATAACCTTGCTTAAAGCCGCCATCTTGAAAACCCCAACTCCTCTAGTTTTAAATGTGCCGTCACATCTCTGACCCACCAAGCATGTGAAGGTGGAGCTCGGTCCTTCGACTTATGAAGAATGAATCAGCAGGCCAGAGGAGAGGCAAAGGCCAGAGAATTTGATTGACAATTTGAAAAGGGCAACCTCTCTGGAGCTAGACCACACATAGTAGTTACAGGTTTAGGTGGTATATTACAAGGAGGATTTATGTATTCTCTCAGATTGCCAGGTCTGTTTCATCTCCAATTCCTTCTCCCAGGTGTCTTCATGGTGATTAGCTGCATGTAGGTCATCAGTCACCTGTTTGTTGAACATTTTATAAAATGACAAAGAAAACTCATAACCTCTTTTACTGATTCCACTGTTTTATATCATATTTAAAAATAATCTGGATTTTCTTTTGATATGAACTTTTTTCTGGTGAAGTTGCATCATAACCGTGTTTATTGTTACAGGCCCAACTCGACCTTCTCCCAACTGATGATAGATGGCGCTGAAGCAGCAGATGATGATAATGAGTCAGGATTCTCATCTGTCAGTCAGTGAGTGAAATGTGCTTACATCTTATTCAGACTGACAGTTTTAAAAATATCAATATTTTGATGAGGCTTAACCGTATCAGTTAAAACTGACATCGAGTGCTTTCACACGGACTTTAGTATCACATTTATTTTTTATTTTTTTAAAGATTTCGTTTTAGGACAGATAAGTGGATAGATTTAGAAATCAGGGACAGAGAGTGGGGAGTGATATGCGGGAAAGGAGCCACAGGTCGGATTCAAACCCTCTATATATTGGGCGCGCGCACTAACCACTCAACTTAGTACTCAACAAAAAAATACAACTGATGTTTAGTGAATTTTTAAAAATCTACATATTACACCTTTAAGCAATTTCCTTATTTCAAATCTCAACACGCTGCTACTTTCATCAAACACTGGATGATGATTAACAACACACACATTCTCTCTGAAGTTCTTTGTTTTGATGAAGTCATGGATTTCCTTTAAATGTTTTTTTTTTTTTCAAACTTGTTGTTCCTGTTGGTCCAGAAATGTCCCAAATAGTCAGGTTGATCAGATTTAAAGTTCATGTAAGAATCAGGAGTTTATCATTCAGAGTGAACTAAATCAAATCTTACTGGATCGATGTCTAATTTAGAAGTTTTAGTTTTTCATCTGTTGTTGTGGTTTGATATCTAACTATCTAATCTTTCTCTCTTTTTTCAGCTTTCTCAGTGATGACGACCAATCGACATGTCCATCTGATCTATCCCTCCACAGTGATTGGTCAAATGGAATATTTATTGATTTTAAAAAATCAGAAAAAAGCCACCCAATCAGGTAAGTGTTTTTAACAATGAATCCTGACAGTCATGTTTGTACACACACACACACACACACACACACACACACACACACACACACTGAGTCTGTTTTGCTGCATGTTGAAAAAACAAATACAATCTCATGTTGAGTCGATCATGTTTGCACTCTGAAAACTTTCATCTGTCTTTATTATTTTCACAACAGGTTTGTTTTTCTAACTTTTTTTGCATCCTTCCAATCCGTGTTCAGGATCAGTTTCTGTGTGTAAATTGGTGGTGTTCCTTTAATGTGTAGTTTCAGTATAGCTAGCAGCGTATCAAACTCTGACATCCTGAAATACACCTGAAGTGATGCTGATCATTCTGCAGCTCTTTTATCAACAGGGGAAACTCTCCTGGCTCTTGTCTTGTTTTCAGGAGTGGGTGGACCCAGAGGTTTTTATTTCTTTATTTTTTAAGGACTGAAAGAATCACAAAGTCATCCTCACGGCTCGATGACTCCATTCTGTCTCACACTGACAATTTTCAGAATGAAGAGAAGAATGAACACATCTGACTCAGAGTGTGAGGTTCCTGTGTAACGTTTTGATCGGATTACAGATCTGAAAAACACATTTTAAAAAAACAGACTCAGTGTGCAAAGACCTTAAAGATGAAACAACCCCCATGGTTGATGTAAAGCAAACGCCATGCTCCTGTTTAAAAGATGTTGAAGTGATGTTGAGTTTTCAAGTCAAATGTTTGACTGAAACATCAACACCTCCTCTCTACTTTGATCCTTTGTGTCATTCATGGAATAAAGAAACAACACAGTGTTTAATGTGTTGCTCAGTGTCTGCTTTGCTCTTCATATTTCATTTGTAATAAAGAAACATCATCAGTGTGTCTCTTGTTGCAGGGATCAAGCATGGCAACGCCCGCTGCTACTGAGGGAACAGCTTCAAATCGGAGAACATCGTTTTTTGGCCCGTCTCTCACCTGAATTGTGAGTAAAATGTATTTACAACATATACAGTATGTATTCTTTCAGATGAAGCTATGAACATCATTTAAATGTTTTTTTCTTCAGAAAGGTAAATTGATTTTTGTTTTCACATATTTATAAAATTATTGTTCCTGCTGGTTCAGAAATATCTCATATAAAAAACTCAGGTTTGATTTCCATATGAGAAGCTGGGTTAATCATTCAGAGTGAACCAGATCAAGTCTGACTGGACTAATCTTGAAGTTTTTCATCTGTTGTTGTGGTTTGATATCTAACTATCTAATCTTTCTCTCTTTTTCAGCATTCTCAGTGATGACGACCAATCATCAAGTTCATCTGATCCATCCCTCCACAGTGATCAGTCAAAAGGACAATTAATTAATTTCAAAAAATTAGAAAAATGCGACCCAGACAGGTAAGTGTTTTCAGCAATGAATCCTGACAGTCATGTTTGTACACACACACACACACACACTGAGTCTGTTTTGCTGCATGTTGAAAAAACAAATACAATCTCATGTTGAGTCGATCATGTTTGCACTCTGAAAACTTTCATCTGTCTTTATTATTTTCACAACAGGTTTGTTTTTCTAACTTTTTTGTGAGTAATTTTTTGTTGATTTTCATGTTCAGGCAACATATACATTTATATATCACATATCTGAGGAATCAACATTATGAATTTATCAAACATATCATTAATAGGAAATCCTAATCTGCATTTCTATAATCAGTTTTATTTATAGCTGCAGATTGTCAATCCCTCCCTACTCCCTGTTTCCCGTGGCGACCAAACCCCCCCCTCCCCCTCCCCCGTAAGATCTCCAACTATAAACACAAGTTCTGGAAAATATTCTACAATTCAACTAACTTAGTTAGAAAGACGCACTCCCCTGAGTACATTATTTTACATATTGCATATGTGATGTAGTTGCATCTGTATATGGATGCATGTATTCGCACATACATGTTCATACACTCAAAACACATTTCTCTACACATTCAAAATAAAATCCACATATGTCAACACAGGTAACAGTTTATGAATTGAGGTGTATTAAGTCTTTTGGGAAATGTAGAAAACACCAAGTATTAAAGGGCAATTCATCACATTAACATTCACTTGTTTCTCAATAATACACAGTTCTTTTACTTATTGGTAGTTAATAATGCTTTAATTATAGTTAAAATCAACGTCCAAGATGATATGGTGTTTCTATTGGCACCATGGATTTTGGCTACAGAAAGTTCCATGTTAACTACCTCAAGATAAGTATTAATCCACTGTGATATTGAGAGAACATGTGAAAGTTGCCAGCGGAGAGCCAACATCTTTCTTGCGGCAGTAAGTCCAGCTAACATTATGCGTTTTTGTGAGTATGCAAGTTGTAGGGTAGTCTTGTGTGAGTGCAAAGGTATATCACAATTTAAGATTCTAGATAAAATAAGGCAAACTTCTCTCCAAAATTTTAGGATAGGATAATACTTTATTGATCCCCAGAGGGGAAATTCGGGTGTTACAGCAGCACAGACAAGAAAGCTCAAAAATACACATTAAACAGAATAGATAAGATAAATAAAAACAACAACATTTTGCAACATGCATTCCCAAAACATGTGCATAAATGAGCCAACATGAGTATCTGAGCAGAGATCACAATTTGATAAAGAAGACAGTTTCATAAGGTAACGTTTCCTGGGTGTAAGATAGGTTCTGTGAATGAAGTTAAGGTGTCTTAGTTGGAGGTTTGGGTTTTTGGAAGAGTCAACGATAGTTCCCCATATCTTTTTCTAACTATCATCCTCCAAAGCTACCTCCAGTTCCCTAGACCACACTTTCTGGATGTACATGGATGTACACACTTGTATGGATGCTCTCCCACACTGGAGATGCAAATGGAACAGACCCAGTTAGAAGGGAATTATTATGAAATATAGGGCTGTGTGCCACTTCTGACTTGTTTTCGATTCTCTTTCTGTTTTGCGCCATATTGATAGGACTAAGATGGAGTTTGGCATGTTTTAGTGGTATGGCAGAGTAAACTAAATCCTTTAATCTATGAGGATGGGCTATGTATTCCTCTATAGGTTTCCATGACACCACAGCATCAGGGTTAAACCAGGATGAGATAGGCCTTAGGACAAATGACCAGGAATAGTATTTAAAATTTGGGACGGAGAAACCTCCTGATGATTTATGACGTCGCAGTGTGGATAACTTAACACAGGGTCGCTTCCCTCCCCAAATGAATTTAGTCACAAGTGACTGAATCTTGTCCTAGTATGTCCAGTAGTGGTGGTAATGGCAACATGGAGGAAAAGAAGTTTACCCGTGGTAGGATGTCCATTTTTACTATGGAGACGTGAGCCTGAAGAGAAATGGGGAATTTGACCCATCTATCTAGATCGACAGTTATACATTTATAATTATCCAATAGTTGTTTGTCATAATGCTATTAAGAGAAGGAGAAATGACCTCTCCCAGATATTTAAATTGTTTGACCATAGGAACTAGTGCTGGTAAGGAAGATGGGTCTAAGTAGGAATTTAATGGTAATAAAGCCGATTTGGACCAGTTTATTTTGTAGCTGGAATGGGTTCCAAATTCATTAAAGGTTTCAAGAATGTAAGGAATGGAGGTAGGTGTTTTATCTACATATAGTAGTATATCATCGACTGCTATTGTGGAAAACTATAGGGGAGATGTAAGGATGTTGTCTGATTTTCTGGGCAAGAGGTTCTAGCAACAGTGCAAATAAAAGAGGGCTTAAAGGGCAGCCTTGGCGGCATGAACGTGAAATGGGAAATCTATTAGAGATGTTGTAATTTGTAATAAATGTGGAGGTCTTCTGTGATCTTAATCCCGTGTGAATCTGCCATGTCTGTTATTTGTGAAGTAAAAATTCCACCGCAAATTACCTACCGTATGTCGCCAAACACAGAGGTCATGTGATAATATTAGTCCCGTGCAAATCGGCATCTCGTAATTTGGGTAGTTTTTTAATTTATTTTTTTAAGGTTGTTTGTCTTCTCCCTGACTTTTTTCTGCCTTTTTCCCGTGGAGAATTATGGAGGCTGCATTGCCAATTCTAAATGAAAGATCTGACAGCATTTTGGGTGCAAATTCAGGAGGCTCATCTAGCTACACAGCATGGAGACCCAATCGCAGAAAGAGCAAGCTCAAATCCATCAGGAGAGAGAAATCTCCAAAGATGATAAGATGGAACATTTTTCTATATTTTACGCATATATTACTCAGAGCCTTGTGTTATACGAGTAGTGTATGTCTGTCTGTGAATGGCTCAGTGCGAGTGAGGAAAGAGAACAAGCCGACTCTCCGTGTCTGTTTACAACTTGCTGCACCCCAGTTAAAGTGACGGGGGTCAGCTCGAAGTTTAGGGCTACAACTTCGGCTCTGAAGCAGACCAATAAGTCTCCGCTGTGTGCTCCGACCACGGTCGGAACGCCGAAGCAGGAAAGGTTAACACATGACATCATATCTGGGGGATAATATCAGTATATTCGAGTTCAAAAACAGACTTAACTTATCCCGTGTGAATGTGCCGCACGAATCACAGACGAGGTGATGTCATTTCTAAATCACATGAGGTCCCCAGGTAATACTAGTGCCGTGTGAATAGGGCTTTAATCATATATGATTCCATGCAGTTAGTTAAAATACGAGCACATAATTGAAGTTCTGAGTTCAAAATTGACAGAGGTCTGAAATTACTGCACAAAGTATTGTTGGGGTTTTGCAGAGCTAATACACAGGCAACATTTAAGTTGGGTTTTAGTATATAGTAACATTTGGTTATTAAATTAATATAAATAATTACCCTTAATTCATTATTAATATACTGTAAAACAACAATATTATTAACTAGAGTTAAAAAACAGGGGCACCACTGTGGGATCAGAGAACATGAACCAAATATCATAAAATCAGTCTCAAATGAATGAATTAAATACTAATATTATCAATAATTAACAACCTGTATTTAATAAATTGCAGACGTGAAATCTGTACATAAAGCCCTCGCAACCAGTTGTATCACAATGCAAATACACCAGTAATCACAAACAACTGATCTTAAATAAAACAGAATTTATTTGAACAAAGCAACATCAACTGCAATCAATGAAACTCAATCAAACAAATAACTATTATAAACTAAGCTACAGCAAACAAAATATCTACAAACAAACCACGTAGTGTGTGTGTGTGTGTGTGTGTGTGTGTGTGTGTGTGTGTGTGTGTGGGCAGATGAGAGCACCATGTGGAGCTACGTCACGTAGGTACAAAATGGTGGACAAAGACAAAAGAAGCCGTGTGGCTACCTTTTGAAATAGTTTGAGCTCTCTGAGCTGAGTTCAGTAACTGTTACTTAAACACCAGAAAGCCAGTGGCCGGACTTTGATTCAACAGCAGGTACACTGGTCTTTCTGATTGTGAAAGCCGTTGACTGAAGGTAAACTAGCATAGCATTACATACATAGACGAACACAGCAGTTCATCACAATAAAACAAATGCAGCAGCTTACAACAAATAATTAACAGAATGTGATGTAATGTGATGTAAGATAAATAAAAATAAAAACAGGGGGTATATACAGTACAAAATGAATGATGAAGTTAACTGGGGGGAATTAAGAATTGAGACAGTATTTGCAGGGAATGACAAGATAAAGTGACAAGTAATTAAAGTGGCTTGGTATGATAAATAGCAGCAAGTAATGTAAACATCAGAGAAGAGAGGCAGTGTTGTACCACAGTTGAAGTGATGTTGAGTTTTCAAGTCAAATGTTTGACTGAAACATCAACACCTCCTCTCTACTTTGATCCTTTGTGTCATTCATGGAATAAAGAAACAACACAGTGTTTAATGTGTTGCTCAGTGTCTGCTTTGCTCTTCATATTTCATTTGTAATAAAGAAACATCATCAGTGTGTCTCTTGTTGCAGGTATCAAAGATGGCAACACCTGCAGGAAGAGAGGGAACGTCTTCGAGTCCAACAAGAATGTTTTTTGGCCGTCTCCACCTGATTGTGAGTAAAATGTATTTACAACATATACAGTATGTATTCTTTCAGATGAAGCTATGAACATCATTTAAATGTTTTTTTCTTCAGAAAGGTAAATTGATTTTTGTTTTCACTTATTTATAAAATTATTGTTCCTGCTGGTTCAGAAATATCTTTTAAAAAACTCAGGTTTGATTTCCATATGAGAAGCTGGGTTAATCATTCAGAGTGAACCAGATCAAGTCTGACTGGACTAATCTTGAAGTTTTTCATCTGTTGTTGTGGTTTGATATCTAACTATCTAATCTTTCTCTCTTTTTCAGCTTTCTCAGTGATGACGCCCAATCATCACGTCCATCTGATCCATCCCTCCACAGTGATCGGTCAAAAGGAAAAATATTAATTTCAAAAATTAGAAAAATGCGACCCAGACAGGTAAGTGTTTTTAACAATGAATCCTGACAGTCATGTTTGTACACACACACACACACACTGAGTCTGTTTTGCTGCATGTTTAAAAAACAAATACAATCTCATGTTGAGTCGATCATGTTTGCACTCTGAAAACTTTCATCTGTCTTTATTATTTTCACAACAGGTTTGTTTTTCTAACTTTTTTTGATCAATTTTTTTTATTGATTTTCATGTTCAGGCAACATATACATTTATATATCACATATCTGAGGAATCAACATTATGAATTGATCAAACATATCATTATTAGGAAAATCCTAATCTGCATTTCTATAATCAGTTTTATTTATAGCTGCAGATTGTCAATCCCTCCCTACTCCCTGTTTCCCGTGGCGACCAAACCCCCCCCCCCGCAAGATCTCCAACTATATACACAAGTTCTGGAAAATATTCTACAATTCAACTAACCTAGTTAGAAAGTCGCACTCCCCTGACTACATTATTTTACATATTGCATATGTGATGTAATTGCATCTGTATATGGATGCATGTATTCACACATACATGTTCATACACTCAAAACACATTTCTCTACACATTCAAAATAAAATCCACATATGTCAACAGAGGTAACAGTTTATGAATTGAGGTGTATTAAGTCTTTGGGAAATGTAGAAAACACCAAGTATTAAAGGGCAATTCATCACATTA